ATATAGCTAAATAATATAAATGGTCCACAAAAAACTAATTGTCTAGGCAAATACTTCGCATACCCTACGATAATCGCTGAAAACCCGTTCCAGCCAATGGCCAATGGCCATCAAAACACAATTACCTTTGGGTGCCACAAGACGAGGCTGCAATAGCCGACCGCGGAGGACGCCAATGATAATGATCTTGCAAAAATGAAAAACAGCACGAACAAAAAAAAGAGATATCTATATATAAGTGCGTATATATATGTATAGCAGCAAAGCGGACAAGTTTTAAGATAACCAACTCGTTGCTCTCTCTCTCTCGCACCCAAGAGCTGGGCCTGCTGTGCTGCACGGGACTCTAAAAATAGCTAGAGCTCATTAGAAAAGGCTAAAAATAGCCGCAAGTTGAAGCGCGACAACGACGTTCGCTTTGAGAGCAAATAAAATGAAAAAAAAAACAGCTTCAGCTACAACAACAACAACAACAACAACGTCGACGAGAAATAATCGTAATAAAAGAGCAGCGCATAATATGATAGCTGCATACACCTCTATAAATGGAAAAAGGTAGCCAAAAGGCCAGGAAGGAATGGCTAGAGAAAACTGAATCCTAAATTTAACAGAAACTTGAAACGGAATCTGATTGGAATTCGAATTAAATATCTGGAGCTTGAGGTAATTGTAAAATGAGCCATTTTAATTAACAGTTATAAAGTCTAACATGTTAATGCGGGCATAACAATACTCAAGCATAAATAGATTAAATAGATAATTAACATTTCCAGTAGCTAACACCGTTTGATAACAGTTACATGAGAGCATATTAGATTTATGTTATGTAAAAATATGTTAAGGACATTAAAGTTTTTTTTACATTAACTGCTAATCACTAATGACAATAACCGAATCTTCACAACTATTGGCCTTTTTTCTGATAAGCTTTATTAAATCTGATAAGAAAAAGAAAATGCAAGAACATTGCTAAAAATTATAAGAAAACAATTCAGATTGCCTCAAGCTTAAGAAAACTCAAAATTTTGTTTAGAAAATCCACAAAAATTAAGAGCTTCAACATAATTGTAAACAATTAAGTTAAATTTCAATGGTATTTCGACAATGTTTACATTTGGCAAACAAAAAAAATATGTTAAGATCACGCAGTAAAATGGAGATTGGAGGGGCAAGCATACAGAGCCAAAAGCGGGTGCCATGGCAAACTAAGTAAATCAAATAAAACAAGTGGAGGGGGCAACAGCAACAACAATAATAATAATAACAACAACAATGCCACTTCAAACAGACAACAACAACAGCCAAAGGGGAGTAAAATGAAACAACGGCAAAGCTACGGCATGTCAGAACAGCACAACAACAACAACGACAACAACAGAAACAAGAACTAAAAGAAACCCAATAACATAAAAGCTAAAGAATTTTTGCGCAAAAGGATGGAAGGCGACTACCGACTCAAACAACTGAGGGGGCCAAGCACGTGTGTGTGTGTGTAAGTAGAAAAACCCGCTTACAGCAGCAAAAACGGCGGCAGCAACGCCAAGTGACGACCTTGATAAGTTTCACACACAAACACAAATACAAATAAGCGTGAACACATACAGAGCAAAAATTGCTTACGAAAAAGGAAGGGCAGCCAAGGAGCGAACGAACAGCCTTTGAGGGCAATGAAAGAGGCCCGCGCACATTCTTAGTGTATGTGTGTGCGAGTGGGGAAGCAAACAGGGTAGGCACAGTTCATGTATCACACCACAATCGATGCTTAGCACAGAGAGAGCGCGCAACCCATGGTGAGTTTCGCTCTGCCCAGCACACACAAGTCACTCTCTCTCTCTTTTTCGCGTTGGCATCAACAAGTGGCTGCTGCTGCTACTGCTGCTCCTGCTCCTAACTCAATTCGTTTTTGTGTGTCTGTGCGCCGCTCTTTAATCAACAGCGCGTGGTGAGCTTTTGGTGTTGTTGTCGCTGTGTTATGCTGTACAATTGTACATGTTGTACTTAACATTACATGCTATAGGCATACACATGCATATATATATTATCATACTTTGCGTTTTATTATTGAATTTCTTAAGTCGCCGCTGCTGACGCATATAAGAATGCCAAACAAATTGCGAGCGACCGCTTGTCTGCCTCTGCTGGCGCGCGCTCTCTCAGCCCATTCTGACGCTCTTTTGTTTGCTCTCTCTCTCAATCAGCTGAGCTTGAAATGTTATTAAATATATAATTATTGATATGCTTCCATCTATACTATATATGTTTGGGGTGTAGTGGAAAATTTCTTGAAGTGTATTTATGGGGAATGTAGCTAAATCAATGCAACAAAGACAACAACAACTTTAAATGATCGTGCAACGTGCCTGAAATTATAAAATACAAAATTCAACGCGGAACCCGCCAACACCAGAAAAAAAAAACCGGCGCTGCACTTGCTGCCACACACACAACCGGCTCAGATCAACAAACAGACGGACAGACAGACAGCTGGACAGCCGGACTGTGCAACGTCTAGTTTGAGCTTTGAACGACAGGCGAACACATGAGAGCCAACAACCCATAATTAATCAGACTGCCAGGCAACATTTTTACAACAATTTACAATTTACAATGCACAGCCAGCAGCAACATTGCGAATTCCAAGCAGAATCCTTCACAACAACAACAAACTGAGCTTGCCGTGAAAGCTCTGGCAACAAACAGTTGCATACTCTATCGATTTCTTATTGGCTAACTGAGTTTATGCTGACAAATAATGAAAACCAACAAACGCACTTTCTTATTGGACTACCGAGAATATTATATTGGAACATAACATGTAGTATGACATTCTAATGTAATTCCTATTAGAATTTTATTTATTTGGAAATGTTCAATATGAATACTTGCTAAATTGGGAATACTGTGTTCTTATTGGTAGATACATATATATGTATATTATGCAGAAAATTAAATTCAAATTAGTTGGCTATAAAAACACATATTTTGAATATTATGCTTTCTTGTTTTAAATTTTAAAATCTCTTATAATTTTTTATATAAAAAGCGAGACTTAATATTTTAAATTATGTTAATTCTTGAATATATATTTTTCCCTTTTTTGTGTTCTTTCCATCATTTCTCTTTCTTTCATTGTTCGTCTAACTAGTTTTTGTTTTTTATCTAGAAATTAAAATTATTCTCTTTTCATCACTTTTATTGGCTTACTCTTACTCTTCAAATTAAATGCTTAACAAAATTTGACAATAAATTAACGTTTTTCAGCTATACGAGCATACAGCAAATGTCCAAATCGATGTGTGAAAACAAGTTTTCAAACATTAATTCGCATATTTTTACAAATTATATTAATCTCATACATAAAGGCAGAACAACAACAACAATAAATACAAGGAACTGCAAATAAAACTCGTTTTGCTTGTAAAACTTTTTAACAATTGTGATACCAGAATATAAATATAAGAAAATAAACAATTAATGTAAATTCTATTATGATTTCAATAACCAAAAAATAATAAACTAAAGTCAAGGATTAATTTTTTTGTAGTTCCATTATTAACAAATCTGATTGGAATAAACGTCTAAGGGAAATAGCTGTTATAAAAGGGAAATAATCTCTTAAGCTTTAACGTTGTGTTGTCTCATAACTAAGCGCTGAGTAAGCCTATTGATAAATAATTGCATTAAACTAAGCAATGTGCATACATACAAACATACAGACATATTCATGTGTATCTGTGTATGTGCGCAAGTATGTGTAGCATTGGTAGGCAAATGAGGAGGATGAAGGAGCGACTTAAGGCGCTGTCAAAAATCTTAATCAAATGATTGACACTTCGCGTTTCGCCCAGTGTAAGCTAGTCAAATGGAAAATTTGTATACTTTGTGCAAATGAGTAAATTACAATAATAATAAAAATAAAACAAAAAATACCCCAACAAATACAACAGTGCTACTAAGATTCCACACAAAGATATAATTTTAACTGTTACATTAGCATTACATGTACATGCAAATATATGTGTGTATATACTCCAAATATTGTTACACTTTTGGGTTTTTTTTACTCATCGGAGGTAGTATTATAATGTAACTAGATAGTAGTAGAGAGAGTGAGAGCCAGAGCACCCAGTAACAAACACGCACATATATATACAATGTGTGATTGGAATTAATCAGGAGTGCACACTGGCCCTGAGAGCGCATTAAACTTCGTTTTACAACAAACTCAGTATAAGCTTCAGCAAGTATTACAATATAAAACTGTTCTACTGTGCTACAACAAAGATCGTAACATTTTTTGATCAGCATACTTAAGGCGAGACGTGCACTCCTCTATCACAAATGAGAGCAGCTCACCAGCTCACAAGTAGCTGAGAGCAAGACATATGGGGAAATGTCATTGATCCACCACACGTTTGGGCAATGCTTCTCGCTCTTGTCTGCTATCAGTCGCCGCTATCCGGCTGATGCTTGCTATACAATGTGCGGGCACAGTGGGACGAGTGGAAAAGGCTGAAGTGTTCGTCACTTAATTGGATGAGCGCTACGCTGCGACTATGCTGCAATCAAAGTACATACGCACACATACAAACTCGCACACCCATATATTAGGGAACAGAGCTTGGGCTTTTTCCAATATGCAAAACAAACCTATTAAAGTGGATAGACAAGTTTTAACCAGTGACAAGCGTGCTGATAAAGCAGTTTGCGCTGGTCAAGCACACTGTGCGAAAGAGAGGGCTGAGATGCACATAGAAAACAAGCACACTTATGCAGATACCCACACATAAACTTATACAGACGCATGCACAGTCATACTTGTGGTAGCGGTTTAGGCTCAGCCTAAATATCCATAAAGACTCGATAAAAATAACTCAACATTGCCTGCAATCAATTTTAAAATAGACTCAACTTACAGCTGTGAAGAGGAAGAAGCACTACTAAAAGGAGAAGAAACTAGCCAAAGGCAGACAAGCCAAGGCAAGGCAATTTCAACTTACCGCTGCGCTCCCGCGCCGCACAAGTTCAAGGCCAAGTGGCCACGGCGCCTCCTCTCTGTCTTTTACTGCGTTCTGTCGTCTCCCGCTCTTCGGTTTACAAGCACTCGATGTGTGCGTGGTGTATGTGTATAGTGTTGGCGTATGCGCTTGTTTGTGTGAGTGTATGGTTATGGTGTTTTTTTATGCGCAACCGTTTGCATGCGAAAGAACTTTCGTTTTCAAGTACATGAAGCGCCAGCGCTTCCTTTGCCTTCGTTATTGTTGTTGCTGTTCTCTTGTAGCTGTTGTTAGCTCTTTTCTTTTTAGTGGGACGCGCGCGTGGTGAACAAAGGGGAAATCACACTTGTTTATAGCACGCGCAACATTTTGTTTTTTGTTGCCGAAATCAACAAATTCACAAAAATTTGTATATGTTATTTGCAAGACTGCACACTGAAGCCCAGAGGCAAGCGGCTTTGTAAATTAATTAACACACTTAAACTTACACACACACGCATACACACAGGCACACGCACACTTGGCCATATCAAGCAAGCGGGCGAGCGAGCGAGCGAGCGCGCGCGCCGAGATAAGCAAAGCAATTTATTTGCACTAAAATTTGTTGCTTTTTGCACGCTGCCGCTGTTGAGGGGCAGGAGGATATTGGGGGAGAGCCTAAATTCACCACACACACAATCTCACACACACTGGAATTCGTCGAAGCAACACACTCACTCACACGCTATCCGACGACGCAAACGCACGTTTCTTGTTACGAATGAGATGGCCAACAATTTTTGGCATTCCTGTTCACATGTCCCGCACACTAGAACAATTTGCGACGCAATTGGGTTTTCTAAGTTGCGTTAAATGTTTTATTTAGCTAGTTGAATTGCACGAGAATTTAGAAACAAGCAGAGACAACAGAAAACCAGACGACACCGCGATTACGAGGCGCAACAACAAATGGTGAGCGTGCGGAGAGAGCCCATGCCAGAGTTGCCAGGTTGGGAGCTTTTTCTTACGCCAAAAAAGCTTTGCGTCAGTGTTAAAAAACGCGCAGCAAAAACATATGAAATTTATTTATTTTATTCCTTATAAAATTAACATTATTTTTAAGTTGTATTAAAGCATAGGCAAATTAGCTTTCAAAGTATCGAACTCCTTGCGATCTAAAGCTTTTAAATTGGTGCCAGAGAAGGGTGATTTGAATTCAACATCGCGATGTTTGTTTACCAAAATCTTTTGTTCGGAATAAATCAGATTTATTTGCTGATTTATTTGCTCTTGATCTGCAATTGGAATTTATGTTAAAGTTGTTTATTCATGTATATATATTTATTAAAGTGTACCTTTTTTGAGCAATTCTATGGCTTGATCTCGTTTCATTTTAACCAACATGCTACCAATTGTAATCCAAACTTTTGGCTCTTCGCTTTTTTCTATCAGACGCAGCGCTTCACGATTTTCCTGCCTACGCTTGTCCATAACAGTTAACTCCTGCTTGTTGACCAATATCTTATCGGCCAGCTCTTCCGTCTTGTTAATAATCTCTATGCTCTTATTTAAGTCCGTTTGCGACATGGTTAACAAATTTATATTAATAAAATTGGCAAAAATGCGGTCAAAACGTAAACAAAGCAAATTAAGGTGACCAACGTGTGATAAACTAGTATTGCTAGAAGCCAAAGGCTGGTTACTCTAACAGCTGTTAGTGAAATCTTAAGATGTTCACCTCAACAACAGCTGTTTGTAATTCCGGTAAAATATATAATATAATTATCATCAAATTTTTTGAAAGAAATAAAAATCTTATAAAAACGATTAAATTGTAATTAAATTGTTGTGTATATTAATGGTCTATGCTGGTAGCTCTTATGTGCTTAGAATATGGTCTTCTTCATAATAATTGTTTGTAGTTTATGCAGGATGCGCGCGAAATTCAAATTTGAATCTTTGAATACAAAACGAAGCCAGCAATAGGAGAAAGTCCCTTTATATTATTTAAGTACACTGCATTATGGAAAAAACCTTTACAATTTTATTTCAAGCCACTGCAATATAATCGTCAATAGACGAGACTTAAGCATATATTTTAAATTAAAATTCAACATTTAAAGCAGCTTTATTGTTTTCCAGCTGCATTCGAAAAACTTCCAATTTTAACGTTTGTAGTGAGTGAGATGATTGATCATCTCGTAGAGCCACTTGGGCTGATCATGTGGAGCCATGTGGCCAGCATTACGAATCATTATTTCAACTAGATGTCCGGCATGCTTCACATAGCCCGCCACCTCGCCATCAATTCGCCAAATCTCACGTGGCGCAATTTTATATTTCTCTGAATCCCGAAATTTGAGTTTTTTCAAATAGTTGCGAGTCAGCGGATAGGCTACAATAATGTCTAATTGTCCACTATAGATGCACACTGTGTACGTGTTGAGTAGCTCAGCGATCCAGGGAGCCACAGAGTCCATGACGTCTTCCTTCAAATGAAGCTCCACCTTATTCTCCTTGTCCAGATCATGGAACGGCTTGTTGCCTACATGAATTGCACGGCGAGTGGCGCCAGATTGCAAAAATTTACCCAAATTTGCATCCGCTGCATCCGGCTGAGTATTGAGATAATTGTAGTACCAATTGTAGCCCGTAAGATTACTAAAGATAGAGCCGTTAGTCAGGTCGCCATTGATTAACGAATCGAAGATTTCGAAGGCGCCACTCATATCCCGCTTCTCAATGCACTCGGCGCCCTTCTGTTCCGCTGTATGAAATTGGACTAAGCCATTGTCATCGATCAGGCCCAGCTGATAGAGGTAGTCACCGTACTTCAGCTGATGCAACGGGTCGGAGAGGCCATTGCCAATGGCCACGCCCTTAAGCGGGATAATGACTCGCGCCTCAATGGAATTCTGAACTTTGTGTATATGATAAGCCAGAGCAGGCACATATTTGCCGGCATAGGATTCACCGGTGACCCAAAAACCGGATGAGGTACCCCAACCAAATAGTTCGTACAGCTGCATTACAGCCTCGTGAAGATTCCTGCCCACATCCTTCTCATTGCGTGCGTAGCCGTCGTCGTTGTCCGTGAAACTAAAGCCCGTGCCCACAGGATTATCTATGTAGATTAGATTATGTGTCTTGCTCCAGGTATAGTTGCGTTTCTGCAGTTTGCCTTCACTATATAACTGGAGCGGCCCATTTTCTGTAAAGAGTCCGAAGAGCGACGAGGCACCAGGTCCACCTTGCAACCACAGCACAACAGGCGCATAGTTCGGATCTGTTTCACTGGGGAAATACCAGAAGAACATGTTTGAATTGTAGGCCTTATCCACGGTCAGATAACCTGAATAGCTTTCCACATTATGAAACTGGGAGCCCGAAACACGCGCCATTTGACGCACTTGATCCATGGGCACCTTTCCGCTCTCGATAAAGGGTGTGAGGAAAAGAGGTTCGCCGGGATCGACACCATCGTTAAAGTACTTAAAACGCGGATACGGATTAACAAAGCTATTTCTATACGGCCGATCTGCAGCAGCAACAGCAGCAGCAGCTGCGATTATTAAAAGTACGCAATGAATTGCGTTTTTCATTGTTTGTTTTTTTTGCTAGAATAAATCAGTTATTTAATCAGTTTGTTGCTGCTTCAACGCCCCCTTGCTTACCCTTTATAACAGATAAGCAAACGTTGCACTTATGGTTCTGCTCCGGTTAAAAATGAAAACTTGTCTGAGCCGGCAAAAATGATAATGCGATGCTAAGCAATAAAAATGTTACAGTTATGTAGTTCCGGTGGTGAACTAAGAAGTGAACTTCAGTTTGAACTATTTCCATAGCTATCGAGCTGTCACAGTGTTATCGATAGGTATTGGATTATTATATTAAAAAGCCAGCTAAATAAAAATCTAGCAAAATCCCCAGCCGAACTACTTAACGATCACATGAGCTAACTGCTACTATTTTTAAACTTTCCAAATAACTTTTAAAAAAAATATGAATAATCAGAATGCAGCAATCAATAAAACAATTAACAAAAATAACTAGATAACGATTATTATCCTATTTATTATTAAACTAATTTAAATTGAAATTCAGTTTTGAACAACTTAATGAGTAAGTGAGCTATTAGCCGGCGAGCTGAGCACAGTTATCGATAAGTTACTTTGCCAATCAGCTGTTGATTTCAAATTCAAATAAAAACATTTAAAATTCCAGCTGATCGCAAATAAAAAGACAATTGAACTTAAATTACAAAGAAATTGTGTAAGACAGGCCTACATGGAATTGAAATGAACAACAGCGCACCTGAGCACCTACATAGATCACAAAAGCAATTAACCGTTAAGCGAAAATGGGTTAAACTTAAACAACGACCGCCCTCATTTGCGCCAAAAATGAGTCATGAGTAACAGCAACTCGTAGCTGCTTTCGCTTTTGTTGTGGCATCGGCAAAACATTCCACTTTGGGCAGCTAAACCAATTGGACGTGCTCCATCTTCCGCGCTCTCTCTCTCTCTCTCTCTATCTCTTTTAACTATTGTAAGTACCTACAAATAGCTTGATTACGCATATCTAACAAACACACACAGATAGAATGTTCGATTTCAATTTGGAATTTGCGCGTGGCGGCGCCTCTTTCACCAGCGAACTGTTCCAGCTGCTAGCAGCTGGTGGACTAAAGCAAAACATCGTCTTCTCTCCATTCTCTATACAAACTTGCCTGGCATTAGCCTTTGCCGGTGCTCAGGGTGAGACAGCCGATGAGATTGCCAAGGGTTTGCGTTTCGTCTCCAACTTCCCACCAGAAGTCGCGCAAACCTTCCAGTTTGTGCTGCAAAAGTACAAGGATAGCAATCTGTTGAAGGTGGCCAACAAGCTGTACGTGCAGCAGGGCAAGCAGCTAAAGGCCAGTTATGAAGCCTCCATCAAGCAGGACTACAACTCCGAGGCGGAGTCCATTAATTTTGCTCTCAGTGACGCGGCTGCTCAATTGATCAACGGCTGGGTGAATGCCAAGACAGAAGGCAAGATCACTGAACTGGTCACTGCCGATAGCTTCAATGAGAACACACGTCTTGTGCTGCTCAATGCGCTGCACTTCAAGGGCAGCTGGGCCAACAAGTTCGATGAATCGCACACCGAAGAGGATGATTTCTGGACAGCCGAAGAGCAGAGCATTAAGATACAATATATGAATCAGAAGGCGAAATTCGGCTATGGCTACTTTGAGGACTTGAACTGCACAGCATTGGATATGCCCTACAAGGATTCCGATTTGTCGATGTTTGTGCTATTGCCGCAGGAGCGTGAGGGCCTCAAGGACCTGGCCGAGAAGCTAAAGGGCGTTAATCTAGTGGATTTGGCTGGTAAACTGAATGTGGAGGAAGTTCAGGTGAAATTCCCGAAATTCAAGGCTGACTACTCCATAGAATTGGTCGACAAGCTAAAACAGGTATGTGCTCTATGTTGTCTATATAGTCTAAAGTAGTATATATATATATATACGTAAGGTATATACTATAGATATATTCTACGAACTTAGATACCCTCTATGAAGGCATACAAATATCACACCATACATATATCTCTATATGTATGTCTGTCTCTAAATGTCTGTATATATAAATATATATATACGCTTCTATATCTATTTTGCTTTCATTACTTAAACACGTCAATAGGTTACTATCACTATAATTTACTTTCGAACTTTATTGATCAATGCTTATCTTAAAGAAATTTGAAACACTTTCATTTCGGTGGCTTATCAGTCTGCTAGATAAAGTTAGGGTGTTTAATATAGCTTTCAAGCTAAGTTGACACATTTACGGTTCCTGTTTAAGATCAGGTATCGTTCGTGCATCGAGAAAAACCTCAGCTGCACTCATGTGTCATATCTTATCTCCAGCATGAGCTCATCAGTAATACTTGTATTTAATCATTGTTTATTTTTATATTTGTACTTATGATATCTTTATTAAATCGTTGCCAGCTGGGCATTACAAAAATGTTTGATGAGGGCGCCGATTTCAATAATCTGCTGGAATCCCCTGAAGGTATTTACGTGTCGAAGGTCTTGCACAAGGCAACGATTGAGGTGAACGAGGAGGGCACCGAGGCAGCTGCTGCTACCAGCATGATTATGATGACGCGCATGATGCTATTGCCACTGCAATTCCAAGCGGATCGTCCATTCCTCTATGTCATCTGGAACAAGAAGAATATTGTTTTCGCTGGCGCTTTTGTCAATGCACCAACTGCCTAAAACCTTAAAAAAAGCTCATTAATTTATTTGTTATTTTGATAATGATTTGTATTTAATAAAAAAAATATTGGCACATTCAATATAAGTTTTTTTATTTAAAGAATTACCATTCAAATTGGCAATTAGGCATTTGCCCCGGTATATTGCCAGCTCTGGTTATGCGGTATTTAAAAATATATTTTCCTTTTGATTATTGCAAGCAAATTGGCTAGTTATATATGAATTTATTTATTTATAAATTAGTATTATTATTATATATTTAATTTAACATAAAAGTTTTTTGCTTTAATTTCCAAGTGGGGTTTTTGAAATACTCAGATTTGCGTTAAGCTTTGCGCGCAGCCAACTTCACGCTGCCCAACCAATTGCCACCAGTTCATTGAGCCAGTTCCGCGCTGAACTACGCAGCTCGTTTATTTGGTGCAGAAAGAAAACAACCTGAATACGCACATACATATGTGCAAATATATATATGTAGGTAGTTCTGGCTGAACAATTAACAGTCATGTGGCAATAGGCAACATTAGCATTCAGAACGATTTAAGCAATGTCACTGCGTGCTTTAAGGAAACGGGATAACCAATACAATCAAGGTGCTGCCAGAGCAACGCTCTATAAGAAAGCAAACAACAGTAACAGCAACAGCAACGGCAACAACAACAACAAAGTTAAAAAGCTAACGTCAGCTGGAAGCCTGTTGCGCCAACGTCAGCTGCTTGGACGTTCGACACATTCCAATCCAGATCTAACGGCATTTCAGAGGACCTGCACGAGTCACTTGTTGCGTCGTAAATCGGAAAGTGATGCCAATCGGGTAGACTCGACTGGCCAATCAACTAAACCGTTAACGGCTGCAAACGCTAAATCCGAGATTTGCCTGCAGCGCATCAGTTCACATAGCTACGAGACGGCGAACAGCAGGCCCTCAACAACAATGCTAGGTGGAGCGCGTTCCCATCGTGATCTTTCTGTTGTCCAATTGGATGCGGATCGTGCGCCGCGTCGCATGAGCGAGTGCAGCATGGGCTACAGTCAGGCGAGTGGCTCTTATTCGCGACGCACTAGCTCCATGTTTGCCAGCCAAATGATGCTGTCATCGAGTGCAGCAGCTCCGGTCGATCCCAATGCTATTTTGCGTGTGCCCATCATTGGTTACGAGGTGATGGAGGAGCGGGCACGTTTCACGGTCTACAAGCTGCGCGTCGAGAATCCCGATACGAATGACTTTTGGCTAGTCATGCGACGGTATACGGACTTTGTGCGCCTTAATGGCAAGCTGAAGCAAGCCTTTCCGCATGTAAATCTAATGCTGCCGCGAAAGAAGCTCTTCGGCGACAATTTTAACGCCGTATTTCTAGACAATCGGGTGCAGGGCCTCCAGATGTTTGTCAACTCAATCATGGCCAAAGATCAGCTGCGCAAATGTAAACTGGTGCGCGAGTTCTTTTGCCTGGACGAGCCACCCTCCTATTCGGAGTCCATGGAGGAGTGTCGAGTGAGTGAGGAACAACTAATCTACCAGTTATATATATAAACATATGTGCCTCTCTCTTTTAGGCAATCTTCGAAGCACAGGAAGAGACCATTGCGCACTTGAAACTGCAAATACAAAGCAAAAATGATCTCATACTTGGCTTACAGCAGAAGCTGCGCGAGGAAATGATCGAAAAGGAGCAGATCAAAGAGCAATTTAAGTAGGTCACAGGAGTAAAGATTATGTACATATATAACTTACTGTATTTCCTTCACATTTACAGAAATCTCAATTTGGACTGTTCGCATTGCTCTTCAGCAAATGAAAGTTTGGCGCTAAAGTAAATTTAGAAACCACTCAAACCAGGACATGTGGAGTGTCCTTCCTGTGCGTGTGTGTACAATATTATGCTGAGCATAACTCTAGACACTCGCACGCCTTTAAAATATCTCCCCAAGTGCATATCAAGCAATAAGCAAGGCTCACTATATAGACAACTATATATAGTATATTTAAAGTGCTTTAGTATACTACACTGTACAACAAGAATTAAGTCTAAGGAGTGAATTGATGTGATTTAGATGAGTTTTTGGAAAGGTTAAAGTTGTCAAATTTGGATTTGCATTTGGATTTGGATTAAATACTATTATGCAGAAAATCTTTGAAAACTTTTTATGCGGCCTTTGAGTATTTGTTTTTAAGACTTTTAACTAATGCCCCAGGACATCATAAGATATTACATGCTAAGTTTAAGGTGCAGGCTGATATTCTAAACCTAATTGAAAGATATTACTAAGACGCATTACATTGTTATTAAAGGCTCTATAATTCAAAAACTGAAGGTAATTAAAAGAGCAATAATTATAAAAGGAAATTAGTTAAAATTCCATCAATTCATTTCAATCATAATCATTTCAAATCAAAATTTCAATCATATCTTTTCACTCTAATGGCTAAAAAATAAATTGAATTATGTCAAACAGTGTAACAAGCCCAAGAAACGAAAAGAAATACAAATATTTTTATAACTATATACTTATATATATTTATGCGGGTTTTTATCCGCTGAACATTAAAACTTAGTATAAGCTCAATGTAATTTAAAATAATAATAATCATTAAATATCTTATTATTTCTATAAATAAACTGTTTATAGCTATTAGCTTGCCAGCTCAGAGGCTCGTCATGGCTGGCGGCCTGGCGTAGGCTTTCGGTATGAAGCCATATTTGCGAGTCTTTGGAGCGTATGCCCACAGCCAACCGTCCACGGTTTGATTGTTCAGGTCCGCATATATCCAATCGCCACGACGCACTGACAAGTCGTCGGGAGCCTGTGCTTTGTAGTCATATAGCATAACTAGCTCCGTGCCATGGTAGCGCAAATCATCGGTGCCAATGCCCAACTGTTGTTGCTGCTGTTGCACCTGCTGTGCCTGTTGCACCTGTTGTGCCTGCTGGCCTTGCTGCTGCAGCATGCTCTCCATGGCATTCAGGCTGCCACCTGTTAGATTCGCATGATGCTGCATATTGCTCTCGTTGAGAGGAGCTGTGGTCGCTGTCGTTGCCTTCTGCTGTTGCAGCACTCGCACACTGTCAGCGGGATAGATAAAGTTGGCAGGTACAAAGCCTTCCTGGCCATCGCTGCGCATTATCCAGAACCAGTCGGGATCCTCACGATTCAGCACCGTAACAAATTCGCCGCGCTCCACAGACAAATCGTTCTCATCCCGCGCTATAAACGTGTAGAGCACAATGCACCGGCCCGATGGTTCCTTGATGAAGGGCGTGCATTCGGGCATCGTTAAGTGCAGATTGCTCTCCACATTGTTGGCTGGGGCGTTGGTCGACTCATCGCACAGCACATCTAACTTGTTATCAACGCTCAGCAGTGGCTGATTCTCATCGTGCGGCTGCTCTGGGCATTGATCGCGTGGCAGTTTCTTTTTTATGGCCAGCTCGGCGAGTTGAGTGTTATATGGAGCGCAGTAGGAGAAGGGTATAAAGCCCTCCTGTCGAGAATCTTGTCCTATAACATATACCCAATCATTTTCGCGATACAGTATATTCACAAGCTGCCCACGTTTCACCTCTAGCTCATCATCCACACAGGGTGTAAAGTCGTGCAGCACAACCATCTTAGAATCGGGACTGCCAAGGGAAAACTACAAATTATGCTATATATTTATATATAAGTTAAAGACTTTACCTCAGTCCATGTTCCTTTTCAATGCCTACACGCACCAGAGTCTCTATACTAGACGAGCCTGTTATGCGCCCCATGCCAACGGGCGCTAAATCACGTTCGATGTTCGCATTTGTGGCTAATGGGAAAAACAAGTTTGTTGTTTAAGTCTTTTACATATAGGTATATTATTTCTCTTTGGTTATGCTCGCTGCGCATGCGTACCTTTCTTTTTGTCGCGCCTCATGCGCACCGGACACAGAAAGGCCATAACTAATTAGATTTCAATATAATTAGTTATTCACAACTTAATAATCAAAGAGCTGCACTGCATTGTTTACGAGAAAATGCATTGCACTTGTATTCGATTGTTTTGATATTATCGAACGCACTTATCGAACCTGACTGCATTTTATCGATATTGACCGACCGCCACATACAAAATTGTGCGCTAAAATTTATCATTTCGGGTGTGTAATTTTTTGTTTTATTTTTTGTTTGTTTATGTGTTAATTAAAGTGTTTATAGTATGTTATGCTTAACAAATGTTAATTCTAGTTATGCAATGAAGCGTGTAAATAAGCATTGGCATTATGTTTATTGAAAAGAATGGGCATTAGGCATTGCAACACCTTGAGGCAGGTTCAATGCACTTGCCCGTTATTCATAGAGGCATAACACAAATTAATTACTGTATTTAAGTGATATGAGTTTTTGTAATGTGATTATTATGTAATAAGCATGACTACATGAAGATTAGATGTTTTTTGAAAGAGTCAAGTTCTGTTTGCATAGATTTTCGAGCTCTGGCTACTTGCAACTGCAACATGATTTGCAGTTCCGTTAGATAGAGTTGACATTATAATTTATGCCAGTCATGATTTAGCCTTTTGCTTTTCAAGGTTAAAAAGCCATGCGTCATGCATTATCCTTGCAGGCTGCATCCAGTCAAACAACGGCAATGCTCTCTTTTAGTGCCAAGGATAACGGCGTTTGCATTTTCGATTATTTCTGCCAATGGCTGTGTGTGCCTGTGCGTGTTTGCGTGTGTGTGAGAGGGCAAGCGAAAGTACAGCCGACTAACAAACTGACCTACACAGCAGACCCTGCCTGAACCCAGGCCCCGGCTCTTTACTTCTCAAGTTCGTTTTCATTGCCAAAAAAAAAAGTAGAAGGAAACTGCGCATTACAATTGCTGTGTTACGAGCATTATCCGTGTTGCCCTACCCTACCCCACACCTCTCCACTCTCCCTCTCTCTGTCTCTCTTTCTTAGTCATCGAAATGAGACCTTTGTCTCGCTCTTGTCTCGTTGACTTTTGCTTACTACGCAGTTGAGTCAAAAGTCAGCCCACCGGCCCACACCATTCCTTTTCATCCCATTCCATTCCATGCCCTATCCCAAGCATTTAGCTAAGAGAGCTAGCTCTTTTGCAAGTAATCAATAAAACGGCGTCTGCGCATTAAGCTACACGTGAAACCATTCACTAAAACAGCACAACAAAAAGCTCGACATGATGAGCTTGATAAAGATGTTCCGCGTGGATGAGGATAATGGCGATGATGAGGATGCTTTCTGTGGCAGCCGTGTCGCTGTTGTTTATCCTTGTTCAAATATGAACGCTGTCTGGACAGCAGACACGAGACTTACTCCACTGCCTGACTAAGTGGGTCAGTTATATATAGGAATCACGCAGGTTTCCTAACTGAAATTTCAGTCGAACCTAACTCGCCTGCTCGAACTGCTATTCAAATTTCACTTAAGTACTGTTGTCAGGAATTGTGAAATTACAGCACTCACACACACACACACATGTATGGATGTCATTCACGCCCATATCACAATTTCATCAGAGCTCGCAACACGTCCTCCCAGGATGCGGGGTTACGTTTGTAATGCTCTCGTAAATCGATTTCGTTTGGCTTTCAGTTTCATGAATGGCATTTCAATTTCCCGCTCATAAAACAACGCACAGCGTCAAAAAGTCATTCAAATTGCTAAAAATTTGATAGACGTGCTGTGAAAGTTGAGTTTGCCAACTTATGGGCTTAGCGAATATGAAGAGCTACACAAAATTGATATAGGCTGGTAACAGTTGTTCTTGTTAAATTAGTCGAGTCTAGAAACTGAAGTTTATTTCATCATAAAAGCATATCATCATACATGCATAAGAACTTTTTCATATATTATATATTTTTTGATAAAAAATATTCTGTTCTAGCCCCATTTCTGTTTTCATATAATAACTTCGTTTTCCTTTAGCAATTATATGAAACAATACGGTAACATTGAAGTAGGGTTTTCACTTGCCCTATGTACTGTCAGGCAGGTCGTCACTTTGGACTACCTTGAAACGACGTATTATACCTCGTTAACCTTCAGGATCAAGGGGCTTTATATGCTCTAACTGGTTTCGGTCCAGGTTCTCATTTCGTTAACGTCGCCGACTCTTTCCTAAGCATTTTTGCTGTAGCATATATTCCCTATTCTGATCTCTCCTTTGATCATTCCCTTCTGCTGTCCAACTTCCAAGGTGAACTCCATTGCAAGTTTGACAATGACAAGAACAATGATTGTGATAATAAAAATGATGATAACAATAAAAATTATGCTTATTTTATTTTTATCATTAGTTTTAACCATTATCATAATCATTATCATTAACATCGTAATTCTTATTATTATCATCATTATTATTATAACTATAAATGATTATTGTATATTAAAAATTTGTACATTAGACTTATACATACTTTCATCTATGACTATATATAATTTGATAATCGAATTGCTTCGCCTGTTGATAATGCATTTCCGAATTAACCGCACGATTTATTGGCCAAATGCAATTTCTGGTAGGATTTGCATTTGCGCAAGAAACGAAAATTTTTACGAGCGTTTCTAAAAATGCAAAAACCATAAACAAAAACAAAAACAAAAACAGAAAAGAGCAAACAAAAATATCGGCATAAATAGGAAAATGCGAAAATGCAAGAAAAATGGTGAAATAAATAATGTACAAATTTGGAAAAATGCCAAGAAAATGAACAGATTTCATATATCCATAAAGGCATTTATATATATATAGATATATGTGCAACAGATGCGCCAAATGTGGATATATTTATGTATGCATATAGAAACTGATTAATCAAGTTAGAGGTCTGATTGCTGATTGCATAAGCCAATGGCAGCCGCTGCTAAGTGAGCTTTCATGCATTCAACGCCCACGCACAGGCTCATAAAGCATAAGAGAGAGCGACAGACAAAAGCTGGCGGGGGGCGAGGTCGTTGGGGCGTATTCGTCGCCTACGCTCATAAAATGTATTCAAGGACACGTTCAGGCAATTGTGTGCCCATTAAATGTGGCGCGACTCAGATGCAATAGCAATTGACACGAGGCGTATGCGCGATATTTAATTAAGCACTTAACACAATTTGTGATTGCAATAGCTGGCGTTCATATATCCTGCAGTCTGCACGAAGTCTTTGCTAGCCTTAATATGCAAATGTTGGAGCTCAGAATAGCTTGCGTCAGCAGCTTCAGCTTTTGCTCCTGCTCGAGCTCATCTTGAACTGCTGCTCTTGTTCCTAATGCTGCAGAGAAGCTTCATTTGCCTTCTACTTCAGCTCTTTGGCTTTATGACTCCTTAATTCAGTTCCAGCTCTTATTCGAGCAATTGCTTCTGTTTCAGTGGCTTCTTCAGCCCCTGTTGAAGCTTTAGCTGTTGCTTCAGTCTCCTTGTCTAGCTACTGCTTCTGCTTCAGCTCCTGCTGCTGTTCTTTCTCCTGTTCCTTCTGAAGTTTGTTGTAGTCGCTGCTGCTGCTAGCGCAGCTGTTGCTGCTGTTTTCCATACCTCAACACTTGCAACTGATACAGCCATTACTTCAACTTTAGTTTTCTGTAGCTTATTGAGCTCTTGATTTATCCCGTGCTTTAGCTGCTGCTCCTTTCATTCTATCTAAAAAAAAGCGTTAGTTTCTGTTCCTCTTCTGCTCCTGTTTTACTTTAGCTACTGGTTTACTTGGTCTACTGCCACAGATGCAGCTTCTGCATCATCCACAGCTTTGCTTCTTCCTTCAGCTCTTGCTTCTGCTTAAGTATCAGCTTATTAGCAGCTAAAGTTTCGTTTAAGTTTCAGTTTATGTTTCATCTACAGCTGCTGCTGTTGCTCTTGTAATTGTCCTTCTTTCAGGTTGCTTGAGCTCCTGGTTTAGCTACGCTTTTGCCGTTCGCTCCAGAGCATCTACTCCTGCTCAAGTTATTCTTCTACTCCTGCTGCAACTCTATTCTTGTTGCAAGCGCAACTCTTTCTTTGCTTCAGCTTCCAAATTAGCTTTGGCTCCTTCTCCACCTGCCGCCGCTGCTTTTACATTCAAAATTTCATTCAGTTTGCCCACAACATAACGCTCCATTGCGTTTCACTCTCTCTTACTAGTCTTCCTACCTACCTAGCTCCCTCCCTTTCTCTCTCTTTCGTACCGCTTTTTTCTCCTAATGCCTCGTCGCACGCCAGCTGGGGCACGTGCGCCACTGTAGGAGCTTGTGTGGGCCTCTTCGTGGCGCTCGACGCTCAGTTGATGTTGGTTCCTCGTGCCGTGTGGTTCGCATTGTGGCAAACAGTTGGCTGTGGACGTGTTTCAAAAAAGCTGTGGGAAAATCAACTTGTAAGAAATTAGGTAAAAATTTGACTTACATCCGATAGGCAGCATGCAATAGCCAAAAGTTGCTATTTAAATTGATATGTTTTTAATGCTTACTTAAAAATGTTGCACAGGTGCCTGCCAGGTGTGTGTTTGCCTGTGTTGGCGCCACTTCCGCACACACACTTCCAATATAAATATATAATTTAATTTGTTTTACATTCGTTTATTATTTATTTTTTGTTTCTTGCTTTTGGTTTTCACTTAGGTCGAACGACATCAAAATTTTTTGCCAGCCACACAAATTATTTTCAGCCAATCTGCGGCAGAGTCAAAGACTTTTTTATGAGCATGTATATATATATATATATATTTATATATACATATATATTCTGTCTGCTATAGATATACATCTTTATTTTGTTTTGATCATAAATATGCTTTTCTTTATTTATTTATGAAACGTTTCGCATTGTTGACACGCGAATAGCCAATTTGAGCTGATTTCAAAGAGCATCTGCTAGTTCCAATTAGTCTTCATATACCCAGTGTATCCTGCTTGGGGCGGGTATATTGTTACAACTTAAAAACGGGCACAATCCGTATTTAAAGTGAATAATTATTTTATTTTATTTCATCATTCTATATTTATTTTTGTAATATAATATTATGATACAGGGTGTTTTGATTTTGCCCTTCAAAAAAATATATGATTAAAATGTATTTTTATATTTTTTGTATTGTATACAAATTTATTTTTAAATTTGTTTAGCAACCAATAATGTATTTTCTTTATACAGCGTGTTGCTTGGTCTATACAAAAGTTGTATAACATAAATATTACTTATAAATAATATATATAGTTTGTTTCTATAATTATTTAGCTTGTCTAAAATATTGCATTTTTGTAAATAGGCTCTTTTTTGCCCATCAAAATACACAAATTAGTATAATAATGTCTAAATAAATTGTTATACAAAATAGAACTGTAATTTATGTTAATTAATTTATTCATAAATTATATATCTAAATTTTTCATGCATTAGAATTCATATGAAATATCATACAGGGTATCTCCAGTCTATTATGTATGCATTTTATCAAACTAAAGGCCAAAAATTGTTGCCAAATTTTGAACAGATATTGTCAAGGTTAATATCTAGTCAGATCGTACACATACATACATATTCCTACACACATATGTTGTTTCATTTAAGGCTCGAGTAGTTTTCATTTTCACACGTGAAAATGGGCATGACATCTGTCTGATTTGTAAGGCGCAATTTCTTCAGTTTGCAGTTTTTTCCAATTTCTTGCATGATGTAACATTGTTTATCAATTGAACGAATAAATGAAAAATAGTTCAATATACTCTATATGTTTATATAGTATTGTCTAGAAACAATTGGTTATTCAATTGATAAATTTATATACAAATCACAGATGTGCAATTTGATTTTCTGTTGGTCTTGTTGGAGGGCGTCAGTTGATCAATTTTCAAGCTCATTTTCTGTTTTCCGTTTATCTATGAGTATGTGTGTAAGATTATGTGGTGGTGTTTGTATGTGGGTGTTCGTTTCTAGAACATTCTGGCTGTGTGAATTATTTAATGAGAAGTTGACAAGCCAAAGCGGCCTGCATTCCTGCGAGCAATTGCCAATGATATCTTATTGGACTTGTATTGCGAGTTTAAAATATGCGTATTTTTAGTCATCACAATTCGTTTTTAAATACTTACTCATAATTATAATCATAATCATAGCTTCCTTTCTTACTCTCTCTCTCTCTCTTGCCCACCCTCTCTTACATTTATTCATAATGCAATTTTCTCTCTCTTGCAGCTATGGATATGAACAAGCGAATTGTCAACATGGATTCAATTAACACAAATAAACGCATAAAAAAGCATAATCAGTAAAAAAAAAAACATAAAGAGCACATAAATATATTTATAAAGCGGCAGCCCAAAGCAAAAGTAAAAGCACCGTCAACTCTTTGACTCTTCACAAACTGTCAACTGTAAAAACAAAAGAGAGCAACGAAAAGAGAGCGCGCGAGCGCACTTTGGTTTTGTTTACACGCCCATTTGTGCGTTGATGTTGTGATTGCAACCAGAAGTGAGGAATAAAAGCAAATATTTACAGAAATTTAACAATAAATCAATTGAGCAATTAATTAAACAAATTTCAACAGAAGCGGTAAACTATTATTGAAGCGGCTAAACAGCGGCCGGAGTAAATTCCCACAAAGAGTTTGCGCATATATAAAGAGAGACAGAGCCAGAGAGAGAGAGAGAGAGCGCACATTCAGGCAGACAATTGCTATTGCACTGAGAGGGCGCATACTGGCTGGTCGAAAATACACGCACGCACACAAGTGCTCCAAAGTCTCGTGCTTGGCTCTGTTGGCGCTGTGCCGCTGCCTTCCAGATAGAAATTGAGTCTCTCGCGTGACACAACGTGCGTCCAAACGAGCGGAAAGTTTTCTTTACTGTGTGCGTATGTGTTAAAGTTTGCTCTGTTTTTCTTTCTTTGCTTTTCGTTGCTCATTCGTTTGAGTAGCATTAGCAGCAGAAACAACAGTAGGCAGAGCAGCATTTGCCGCCTCCCCATCCAAACGGCAGTCGGTCATTGTAAGCCCAAATTTTTGCCTGTGTGGAAATTTGCAATGCTGAAGTGGTAAAGCTTAACCGTCAAAGTCAAAAGCCAATAAACAAACATTTTAAAAATAAACGTGCGCAATAAATAAACAAAAAACAAAAAAAAACAACAAACTTTTAAGTGCGAGTGTAAAATATCGATTTTTGTGAACAGCAAACGCGCGTCGATGACCTCGACGACGGCGACAGCTACAACGGTATAAAAGCAAAAACTGTGCGAGCAAGCGAGAGAGAAGCTAACAAGCTAACGCTTTTGCCCAAATCAAATTGAGCCACGTTTTACATAATTGCCCAAGCGCATAAAGCAACAAACGCAACATCAACAACACAAACCAAAGTCAAACTAGCAAAAGCACAAATTATAACGGCGTCCGCAAACCGAGTGCAAGTGGAAAAACTTTTTGTTGCTGGACGAAGAAGGCGAAAAAGTAGCACAACACTTCCAGAGAGCGGCCCAAGCAGCTGCTGCAGTCGAAAATCACAGCGACACATGCTTAGATATCGGCTCGTCTCAACACACTTCCTAAAGCAACCGTAGTCAGCCCACAGGCACACACACAAATACGCTAAGTGGAAGAGGGAGAGCAACAGCGAACGAGTGTGAGAGCGAGCGAACGAGCAACAATTGCAGCAACCACAACAGCAAGAGCGCAGTAGGAAGAGAGCGAGACAGAGAGAGAGAGTGACAGACTGAGCGCAAAGTAACTGGAAGGCCGATCGCAGGATACGAATACGAACACGAATACAGGGCATTGCGGCCATACAAAAAGTACATCAGGTGTGCCGGCTGTGCTCATTCACGTGCCGAACGTTGCAGCGCGAGGAGTCTGTTCACGAATTAAGCGAAAAGCGATCAAGCCGAGTGTTTCATCGATTTAATTAACTCCAAGCGCTCTACGCTTGAACCGCAACAGTTGCAGCAGCTTGCAGCAGAGGCGGCCTAATTAATTTGCATCCGAACGGGCCTTATAATTCAGTCACAACGTATTCGCTAGGAGTTCTACGCCTACTCGGTTTGAGCTGTTTTAATTTAGATAGCGAAAATGTGCAGAGATCGCGATATGAGTTTGTCATAGATCAGCGCAATCGTCAGTATAAGGTTAAGAAAAAAATTAAGCTGATGCTGTACTGAATGCCCAATGCCTGTATAACAGATAGACACGAGAGCGAGAGAGCGACAGAGAGAGAGTGAGAGACAGTCAGCGTGACAGCAAACGAGCGAGCCTTGGACCAAGCAACAACAACAACAATAACTAACAGGAGTTGTCCTCAAGATCAACAAAGCTAAAATACCAAAGTTAACAATTTAAGTCTACAACATCAACATCAGCTAACATCAATCAATCAGTCAAGCAATAAAAGCAAGGATCATCGATTCGCATGTGTGTGCCTGCGTGTGTGTGCTCGCCGGGGTGTTAAAGCCTGAAATGTGACTATTTTTTGCAACAATTTATTTGACTAATTGCCTCCACCCAACATAGAACAGAGGCCCAAGTGGAGATATTTTGTTTTTATAACGATTCTCGGTGTGCGCGAGCTTTCAATATATAATTATTATTATCATTATTCTGATTATTATTAGTATTATTGTTATTATCATTATTATTATCATTACTGTTATTATTCGTGCTTTGTGTTAACCAACAACATCGTGCAACTGGCGAAAGTACGTGGAAAAATCAGCAAAATTGAAGACTTTGCGAGAAATTTTTGGAAGTCCGTTAAGGCTTGCATTGTAAGTATGATTATTATAATATATATCATTTATAAATATTACACTGACCTGAGTCCGTAAGCTGTTAGCTTAACTTCTTGTTTATTTTTTTTTGGTATTTTTCCACTAATTTTCCACCCTTACTAGAATTTTCTTAACATTTCGTTTGATTTCACACGTAGGCCATAAAGAAAACCTTCACTGAAAGAAAAACGAACAGCTGTTTAGTGTTAGATAGACTATGCGTTGACCTTCAATCAAGGGTCTGTATTCCTTGTCATATTATATTATATTATTTATGGCCAAAACAATGATTAGGTCACTTAAATGCTTTTTTTTGCTAATGATAAGCAAAAGTGGAATACTTGAGTTTTGAAAAGATGACTGTACCGTAACAATCAATTGAAAGCCATTAAGTGATTTATGCAGGAATGTATTACACAATTCATCCAGATATTTATAAATATAGACCACACAGTGCTTCGCTTTCATTTACAGGAATTACTATGATTATTTATAGTAATTATTATTAGTATTAGTTACTGCTGGAGTTAATTGTACTTTGATCAAGTGTGACTTGTATATTTTGGTTACTGTCGACGATCTTTATAGACTTTGATATCACATTACATGATGTTTCTTACCAAGTTTTTATTTCTACACGTTTCTAATGAAAACAAATTTTAATTACTTCAATTTATTCGCGAAGAAACTGATGATGCTTAATGGTATCTTTAAGAAATCAACCGGAAGCAAACGGAAGACTAAGATATTTAAGGTTCTTATTTCATCTGCAATTTTGTTTATTTAATATCTGTTTACGAATTGTTTCCTTTGTCCTTAAAAAAAAAAAAACAAACTGAGAAGTTTCATATTTTATATAAAAAAAATTAGAAGTGAAACTTATTAAATTTTTCCTTAGTTTACCTTAATTCTACTAAAGTTGGTTGAGCTTTGCAGGTTCAAATTATTTCGTCTTTTCTGAAAATGAAAGATCTAGAGAGAATATTCCACTCCCTATCTTTCTCTGTCTGTCTTCCTCTCTCTGTTTGTCAGTCTTTTCGGCTGGTCGGCTGTTAACTTAATTTATTGCCTTGACGTCCGTCTGTCACAATTATTGATAATCCATTTCACACATTTGTTCAGTTTGTTGCTAATCGTGTTGGATTTCGTTTTTGATATATTGTTATAAAGAAATTCACACCTGTTGATTTGTAAGTCGAGCGTTGCCAGGCACAAAATATAACTTCACAGAACCGATTATTGGCAGTTGTTGATAAACACAGCCTGGACTTTGCTAGCTACCTCAATCTTGCTGTTTGTGTCAATCATGATTGATATCCAATTTGTCCACAACACAAACATTCACTGTAATAGATAGTGTTGTTTGTCTATGACAAAGCGATTTTCATATCTTTCCTATCGTACGCGCTACCAACTGAATTTTTTCCATAACATTTCCACTGAATCGATTAATTTGTCATTGTTGTTGTTTCTATATGTATATATATATATATATATATATATATATATATATAAATATATATATATATATTCTGCTCTTTGTTTGCTGGAGTTTACTGTACTAGCAGTACAAGTGAGCATTCACTGTACATATTGTCTCATTCTGTTGACGCCGTCTCTCTCTCTCTCTCTCTGTCTTACTTTAACATATATTTTTTTGACGTCTGCTACAGTGAGCTATAAATTTTCCATTTAGGTAGTGCGACTGTCCCAATATTTACTTGTTGTCTCTACCTGTTCTCACTCTGGTTGCTGTCGTCGCGCGAGTTTTACAAACTGTTGCGTGCTTTTAGGAACCACACCCCCCGACTCTTACCTGATTTTCACTCCACTTCACATAATTTATTTACGTGCTAACAATCTGCACGTCACAGTCGTCGTCGACATGCAATCCTCATTATTTGTGGCTGTTGACCCAAAAAATTACATGGCTTATTAGACAAGTCAATAATACGCTTGTCAATTACTAAAATACAAAAAGATGAGCCGAGCTCCGCTAGGAGTTACCTTGGGACGGTCAAATGCGCCAGATATCAATTTTGCAAGACATAATATAAAGTGAAGGTTTTTAACTATTAATTTAAGCTTATATTGATTTCTAATTAGAGCCTGATGACTTGTGAGACTTAGTGGTATTGTTGAGAATCGCATAGAAAGGATATATATCAAGCAATTCTTTTATAGAAATTTATATATATGGACATATATACATTCATATATCATTCTTTCATGCATACATGCATGGATACATTTTGATTTAAAATTCGCATAGAAAGGCAATACTTTTAAATTCGTTTTTTATATATGAAACTTAAAAAATTTTATTTTCATATATATATATATCTTAAAGCCACCTTAACCAACTTTTTAAGTGCTCTAATTGCTTGGTGACGATTGATTAATTTTTCAGCCTTTACATTCACACGGCTATTGGGCTTCAATTAGCAAATCACATCGATCAACCACGAGCAAAATGTGTGAATTTGTCTATAATTAGATTATACACAAAGTTCACACTGTGCAGATATATTTTTTACGTCCGTTTATTTCTGAACCAAACTGAAAAGTACACAAACAAATACGAATTTATTTTTAGCATTATGCTGTGAAGAAATTTGAAATGTTTAATATACGTGAACAGAGGCAATTAAAACAAAAACTCAAAATTATGAGTAAAATACCCTGGAACTATGCTGAGTGGGGTATGGGGTATATATGGGTGATAGTCAATGAGATGTCTGTTTAAGGCTTTTGCCTTTAGATAATAATTTATTTTTAGTCATAGTATTGCAGAAAAGGTATCACAAGGGCTTCTTCATGTCTCTCTCTCTCGCCCTCTCTAGACATTCAGTTAAGCTCTCAGGTCATACTACAGAGCATCTATGAGTCGAATGCTCTATCTTTCAAAAGTTCTCATTTGTAGAAACATAAACATTGATGATAATGTTTTATAGTTTTTTGCTAGACACAGATGCCATGGCGTCATCTTGACTCATTTGAAAATCTCGTGACATGATTATGCAAAAAAACGAAGTCAGGCGTGCCAGGCTAGAGATAGTACCAGTCGGTCTATGGCACGTGGTAACAGTTGACAAAAAACCAAACCACATTTGTGCATTTGACCAAAAAATAAAAATGAAACCAGAAACGTGGTATGCAAAAAATTTTAAACAAAATAAAACCTGTTCGCCTTCAACAGACGCATAATCAAGGCACATATATGACATATAAATATATTTAAAATGTGTGTGTTCTTTGCGAATTTGTTGCTTGATCGAAGCTTGGCAAAGTTCACGAAACTGGAAAGAAAGAAATTTTATACGAGTGTCTGCAGCGCGCTGCCTCAATTGAACTTGATTGATTTTAACGAAATGCGAGTAAAAATACACAATTCTTATATTAATTGAAATACAACAACAACAATAGCAATAAAAAGAAATCATCAATGAAATGCAACCGCTGATTGCGTCACGTGCCGCCAATCAAAGCCCATCGCATCGAGTAGGCGTAATCGTAATCGTCAACGCGTACTTTGCCCCATTTCAATTTCCAGCTTCTGGCTTCCAGCTTCCAATTCCCAATTGTCATTACCTATGCCCCACTCTCTGATTTATTCACATTTTTTATTTATATATTTTTTATTCGCCTTTTTTGCGTATTTAAATCTTATTTTTCTTGTTCTTTCATTCACTTTTGTCGCCGCCTTTAAATGTTTTATTCTGATTGATGAGTTTCATATGGGCTTTGTAGTCGCCTAACCTTTGTCTACTCATAAAGCATTTCTCTATTTGTTGCATTAACTTTGTTTTGCATGTTTATATGTCGAATTCAATGCAGGTGTTTTCTTATAGTTGTATGAAGGTAATATTGTATAATATGGAACTACCTTTTTCATATTGGAAACTATAACAATGTATATAAAGTAACGCAAATTTTGTTTCTTATTTTAAAGTTATTTATTTATTAATTTTGGGACCTTCAAAGTAATCACCATTAAGTATTATAAATTTCTGCTTTAACTTATTCTCGAAGCACTTCAAATAATCGTTTTTTATGATCCTGTTGTGCTCCTCTTTTGTCGCTCTTTCATGGTCCTCTTGAGTTTTGAGAACAAGAAAATGTCACAGATCAGACCAGTCGAGGAAATACGACCATTATAGATATGTTGTTTCGGAACAGAAATTTGACACAGATTCTTTTCTTCTGGTTACAAGCTTGATTACAGATTCTACTATTTTCTGGAATAGACAAAGCTAAACAATTAACTAAAAAAGAAAGCTCGGATTGAGTAAACGAAACCCACGGAAATTACAAAATACGGACAACATTCGATTTCGTCTGTATTCCACTTCTAAAATTAAAGCTAGTTAACCAGATAAGCTGCTGAGCTTTTGTTAAAAACTTTTAGAAATCTATTTAAAGTATTTTTGTGGTTTGTTAATTAGGGCGTCCCTGCTCTAGCCTGGGAATCTATGCCTAAAAAACTGTATAACTTATAGAAGTCATGTGACATATATAAAAATACTCTTCAGATACTATAATCGACTCATTTACTTCATATATAATTTATATACAACTCTAGTAGGCTTTATTACAGGGTATATTAAATTTATTTGGATTTTCTTATTTTTTAGGTTCACAAATTTGTCTAATTTGCTTGCCCATAAACTTTATTAATTAAAATTTTTTGCTTTTTGCATTTGCATTTTATGTTTTTTTTGCCTGGTTTTATTCCACTGACATTTTGTGGCAACACACAAGCACACACATGCCTTAAAACATGACGTCAGTAACTCGTTTGCTGATTTGCCGGTTCACTATTCACGCTCTCTTCATCTCTCTCTCTCTGTCTACTGTCTATCTCTCACTCTCTTGTTGCACAATACACGTTGCACGTGCTTCACATGGAACGCATTTCTGTGGCAAAGGCTGTGGGAAATTTTCCATCAAATTATATGTATAATGAAATGATATTGTTTAGTCGATAGTTGTTAAAC